TATCTTTCATCTATCTATCTGTCATCTCTCTATCTATCTATCTATCTATCTATCTATCTATCTATCTATCATCTATCTATCTATCTGTACTCATGCACATGTACCATGGCCCATGGAGATTGGAGGACAATGTGAAGGAGTCTGTTCTTTTTCCACCATGTGGGTCCTGGAAATTGAACTCAAGTCATCAGGTTTGGTGGCAAGCACCTTTTCCCTCTGAGCCAATTTGCTGGCCCATTCTCTCCTTTTTCATAAGGCCAACAGTAATCCAGGATTCAAATCCATCCTTATGACTTCACTTAATCTTCATGAGCTCACAAAAGCCCTGTATCCATATACACTTACACTGGAGGTTAGAGTACTTCAGCATGAACACTGGCAGCAGCATGATTCTGTGGAGAGCAGATGGGACAAATGGAAGGAAGAGAAGTCAAAGATGATAGATGATAGTCTCATCCATTGGAAGGCAGCTGGAGAAGGAGTTTGGAGGGATGCTTGCATTCAGTTTTGGACATGTTAGTTTTGAGATGAATATTAGGCATTCAAGGAAGGACACTAATTAGGTAGTTTGATGTGTTCTGGACTGAAGATGTGAAGTGGGTAATTTGGGGATCTAAAGTAACAAGAATGGGATCAGCAAGAGAGTGGGTGAAATAGAGGTTTTTCTAGAGCAACTCAATGTTAAGAGTTTGGAGAAATAAGGAAGCTTACAGGACTGAGAGTTGGCTGGTGAGGTAGAGAGAAATGTAAGTGTAATGCTTTTCTCTATCTACATGTGTGTATGTGTAAGACTTAAAATGAATGCTTTCTGTCACTCTAAAAAATTTCAAGACAAGGTTTTACTCTGTAGCCCAAGTTGGCCTTGAACTTGCAGTGATCCTCCTCTTTCTGCCTCCCAACTACTGCAATTACAGGTGCACGCTACCTTGCCCATCTCACTCTTTCAAAAAATTAAGACCTTTAGTGCAATACAATTTGTATGCCATATAAGTCATTTAAAGTGACCAATTCAAGAGCTGTTAGTATAGTCATAGATTTGTGGGACTATCAAAGTCAAATTTAAAACAGTTTCATCACCCTAAAAGAAAGCCCATCCCCTTGGCTACCAGTTCTCTTTCTTTCACTGCCTTCCAGCTATAAGCAACCATGAGTATTTCTACCCCTATATAGTGCTGACTTGGGACATTTTCTATAAATGGAATTTCATGTGGCCTTTTTTCCTCTCATTTAACCCATTTTTAAGACTCCTCCATGTCACGCCATGGATACGTCTCTCCTTTTAACAGCCAGGTAATACTGCCAAATTTACTATTTTCTTTATCCATTTATATGCTGGTGAATTGTCTCCACTCTTTGGTTATAGTGAGTAAGTGCTCTTGTGAGCATCTGTGTACAAGGTACATGCCTAGGATGGGAACTGCTGGGTCAAATGGTTATTCTACATTTAGCTTGTTGAAAAATTGCCCAGCCATCTTCTATAGCACCATTTTACATTCCTACCAATGATGTATGAGGGCTCCAAGTTTTCCATCTTCTCACCAGCAACTGTTTTCTGTGTTTTTGATTACAGATATTCCAGCAGATGTGAAGTATTGATCTCTTTGTGATTTTTCCCCTGGCTCTTTACTCAGCTTCCCTCTCTTGTGTAATAGAAGATAAACATCATTTTCTTCTACATCTCAGATTTGCCTGAAAAATAAATCAGTGAGTCGATATGTGCATGCTTGAAATAGCACTCTGGACCTCATTAGTATCTTCCAAATGTTATGGTTATGGTTCAAAGGTCAAGAGTGTGGTTCAATGGTAAAATGTGGCTTTAGCTTTCACAAGGCCCTTAGTTCAACCTCCAGAACTGAAAGAAATAACTAGGGAACTAAGCAAGAAGCAGAGTCAGATACTATAGTACACACATGTAATCTTGGCACTAGAGGAGGATGACACAGTAGGATTGTGAGTTTGAGCCCAGCCTGGTCCTACATAGCAAGTTTCAGGCCAGCTTGGGCTACATATAGAGACCCTTCCTCAAAAACAAAAAACAACAAAAACAAATACACAAAAAAGCAAGCTGGGTGTGATGACACAATTCTGTAATCCCAGCACTTACAAAATAGAGGCAGAAGGATTAGTTCAAGGACATCCTCAGCTACATAATATAGTTTGAGGCCAGCCCTCACCTCAAAAAACAGCTCCCACACCTCAAACCAAACCCAACCTAAAACTGTCACTGAAAATTCTGGCAATTCAGCACAATCCTGCCTGCCCTTAAAGTATGTAATAACTGTGTAAGGGAGATGCTGAAACACATCATCTTTTGAGTGACTGTTTCACAATTTTAACCAATACCTAGGACTATTTTATATGTGGTATTTCTCCTATAATGGTGACCAGAGTGAGGAGTCATACACAGAATAACAAAAGGCTTATGGCTTTATTCAGTCAAACGGGCAATTGCAAATGCAACAGATAGAGGAACAAACACCACTCTAGAGGTAAGGTAATCTTGTTTTCCTCTCTTTGATTTGGGGTGGCCATTTTCCTTTTAAAAGCAAACAACTGTTCTGCCCCACACCAAAACTATGCGTTTGTACCTGAAACAAAACAAAGAAACAGGGTAGGGATTCTGGAAAGGAGTCTACCTGTAGGTTGCTACAGAGACTGAAAGATGTTTCCTGACAAAGGTGTAGCTAGCTGGGATACTGGGGATGCCTGGGGTTGAGTACATATGCAAATAAGTGCTGGGAAAGTATGTAGGGGATTCACCTCTGTTGAGTTCTTTGAGAAGTCACTTCAGGTGACGAAACATGTGCCCTATCATCGTGTTTATGGGAAGCACTGGAAAGTTCAGGTGACAAAGCTACAGTTGACAAGGGAGTGGTGCCTAGAGAAAGAAAAGAAAGGATGATCCAAGCTTTGAAAAGTGAAGTCTTTTGAACTGTTTCAGGAGTTAGGAACAGCTACTGCTTTCCTTGAACCCTGGAGGAAGTCACAGGAAGACATTTATATCCAAGCGGTCGTTTAAAATGTTTTTAGCATGGTTTTTAGTATGGAAGCAGACGCAGCAAAGACCACCGATTAGACAACTCCATGGGAGGGCCAGCAGTTTATTTGAGCGCAAACAGACCCCTGGGCTGCCTCTTGGGGAGCAGAGAAACAGCAGCAAGCAGGGGCAGTCAGACATCTTTTATAGGTAGGTAGGTAGTTGGTAACTTTCCATGATGTTGGCTGGGAAGTTTATCTCGGGAATGGTTGGTCTCCCAAAGGCAAAGGGACTTGCCTGGGGCTAAGTTTGAACACCCCCCCCCTGCCCCTCGCAACGGTTTAGAATTTTGGGAGCTGCGCCACCATTTGAGGAGCCTGCCAAGAACCTAACAGTCACATCATCTTTTTTTCTGCACTGTGGCATGTATATTCACATGTAGAGGTGCATGTGTGTGCATGTGAGGCCAGAGGTCATCATGGGGTAACTTCCTTGATCTCTTCCTACCTTATATATTGAGGCAGTGTCTCTCACTTCGTCCCAGAGCTCCTCAATTTGGCTAGTTAGCCAGCTTGCCCTGGGGAATCTCAGCTCTGCCTTCCCAGAACTGGAACTGCAGGTGGGATGCTGTACTCACACAGCATTTATGTGGGTGTGTGGCAAGTGCTTTACGCACAACCCCCTCTCCCCCCATCATCTTTGTGTGTGTTTGTATAAGGGCAATCCCAGATCTCAAAGGTCGTTCCTCAGGCGTCATCCACCTTTTTTTCTTTTGGGACAGGATCTCTCACTGGTTTACTAGACTGGAACTCACCAAGAGTCTGGTGAGACTGGTTAGCCAGCAAGCCCCAAGAATTGACTGTCTTTTACTTCCCCATGCTTGTACTTGCGGGTTCTGGGTATCAAACTCTGGTTCTTATGCGTGTATGGCAAGCACTTCACCAACTGAGCTATCTCCTCAGCCCCACCTCATCATCAATCAAAAAAATAAGAGAACATTAGTGGATGTGAACAGACTCAGAAGTCACAGAAACTCAAGACAATTATGTGCCCAATGTCCACCAAGCAAGGCTCCTCTGCAGCGACTTCATCCCCAAGGAACCTGTTCAATCAATCCAAGTGTTTGCCCATCTGTGAAGGTGATGGCCTGCTCTTGAGTTGGAAGACACTTTAGAGGCCAGTGAAGGCAGACTCCTCCTGTGGTGCTCCTGTCCCAAGCTCTAAGTTGCCACTTTTTCTAGCTACATCATTCCATTTACTATCTTTGTTCCTAAGTCAACAAGAAGGAAAGACTGTGTGTGACTACATGTCTACAACACAGATGTGGTCTACATTCAGTATAAATTGAGTATAAATTCCGTTAACCTTCAAAGACTGCAACCCTCATTTGACAGAGGGGCAAAGTGAGGCGGAGGCCCACATCTGTAGGCCAGGAACCCAACACATACAGCATGCATGCGTCTACGCAGCCTGCTTCTGACTGGACGCCTGAAGCGAAGCCCAACTCAGACGGTCTTCTTGAACTCTGAGGCGCACCGCCAGCCCAGCCGCACCCCCATCACACACCCAGTCCACACAGAGCCCAAACCACGCGGGGGCGCGGCCGGAAGTGTGCACGGCTGAAGGAACGCGCAGCTGGGGGGAGCCGGAAGTGTATTCGGCTGAGGGAGCGCGCTGGAGAGAGGTAGGGGGGAGCTGGGACACAGACCGGAAGTATGTGCATCTCAGCGAGCGCGCCAGCCCCGGGGCCGGAAGTGTGCGCTGCAGAAGGAGCGCGCCCTCCGCGGCGCTGGGGACACAGGCCGGAAGCGTACACTGCGCAGGGAGCCCCGCTACTGCGCTTCCGGCAGCGGCCTACTTCGATCTAGGCCCCTGCGTCGACTTGGGTTCCCCGCGCGGGTTCTCCTCGGGGTCGTCTCGCGCTCCTCCATGGTGGGCGAGGACCCTTGAGCTGCGCTGTCTCGGCGACTGCGGGCTCTGAGCGTGAGAGCGAAGGCCGCGCCGACATGAGCGGCAAAGAAGGTTTGGTTCTGGGCAGCGCGGGCGCGGGTGGGAGGGCCTGGGCCTTGAGCGCTGCGCTCCCCTCGCTGAGGACCTTCCCCTGGCCCCCAGAGAACTCCTTTGCCTTGAGTCTCGGAGCCGTTCTTTGACCTCCCCTACTTTGTGGTCCTGCGCTTGTCCACATGTAGGGCTACTGGGGTCACCGGGGTGCCTGGGCGGGCAGGTGCCTGGGAGGAAGGGACTTACTGGTGCTGTCACACTGGGTGATGGAAAGCTCTGTCTTCTTAAGGACCAGGAGGGTTCAGGAAGAGGAAGCATGACAACTTCCCACATAACCAAAGAAGAGATGGGAAGGATGTCAGTTCGTCTTCCCCGGTGATGTTGGCCTTCAAATGTAAGTTCCCATGATAGAAGTGGAAGAAGAGAGGATTCGAGCTGAAGCAACGCTTGTGTAGCCATATGTGCGCCAAAAAAACCAGCACTCAAGATTTTAGGACATGGGGCTGGAGCGATGGCTCAAGTTAAGAGGCTGGCTGCTCTTGCAGAGCCTGGGGTTCAGCTCCCAGCACGCTCATGGCAGCCAACAACCTGGACCTGGTAACTCCAGGTCCAGGGGATCCGATGCCCTCATCTGGCCTCTATGGACAATGCATGACATGGGTGCACTTACACACATGCATGCAATACAGTCCTACACATAAAACTAAAACAATAAATAAAACCTTAAAAAAAATTAGGACATGCAGATTTAAAATTTAGTTTTTCTCAGTGTTTTGTGTTGGTGCTAAATCTGCTCCAGAGTGATTTGACCAACTTGCTAGAGACTACAAAGGGGACTTTCATATACCTGTGTGTACAAGGTTTACTAACAGTGCCCATTCTGTGCCATGTGCTGCATAAAAATAAAGGTCCAGTCTTGTGTGCAAGTCTGGTTAATTAAATTAACGTGTACTACATATAAACATACATGGTAGTAAATATATGGTGTTACAGGACAGTTAAGTATGTGCCATCTCCAGTATTAACTAACATTTAACAGTTGATGTGAAACTTTACCTATTTACCAACGTTAATGTTACCTTCATAGACATTATTAGTCAAGATGTTTGGGATACAAATCATATTTGTTGGAGGCAAGGCAAGTTAAAAACTGCCTCATATTTAATGGGAAGGAGTTAGGTTGCACCTTGTAAAGAGGAGTCTCAGCTAATTTGTGGGCAATTTTAGAACAACACAGTACCTACAGTAATCTTTGTTAAGTGTAAGGAAAACAGGTATAATTGAGCAGAGAGTTTACTGATAGGGCTGAGCACTGAGTGGAAAACTGTAGTGGGTGAGGTATTCTTCAGGCGTAGGTTCATATACCCTATACGCAAGTTGCTTGTTTTCAGCGTGGTTTGCTTTTTCTATGCCTGCTTTGAGGCATGGCTCTTTGAGCCTTGAGTTGCCTCTAACTTGGTGCTTTCATTACCAGTCTGGTAGGGCATGTTTTCTTCAAGACCCAACTCAACTAACTCCTTGGTGATAAATGTTACATTCATTCATTTTCCATCTACCCACTCCATGAGTGTTATTGAGTATGTTTTTCCCAAACTCTTTGCATTAATCCATTTTACTTATACCTATATCTCTGTCATTGAGGATAAGAACTTTGTTTCATCTGACTGTGCTTTCATAATATTAGACAGCATTTGTAGTAGATAATAACATATTAGACAAAATCCAGGTCTAATAATTTTTTATTTATTTATTTTTTGAGACAGGGTTTCGTGGTCCAAACTGGCCTCTGAGGATGGCATTGAGCTCCCGACCCTTCTTCCTTTACCTCCCCAAGTGGTGGGATTATAGACCTGTGCCACTGTGCCCAGTTTAACTGCTGTTGGGGATCTTTTTGTAATAGTGAAACATAGAAAAAGGAGGTTTATTCAATGCGGCCATTGGGAAGAGGGACAAAGATCCAGGGGTCCCTGTCTAACCCTGAGTCTATCATTGGGGGATCAGTTTTATGTAGTACTGAAGATCAGTCCTAGGACTTAGTGCATGCTAGGCAAGCACCCTACCAATTGAATTATATCACTGGCCCTTTGTTGTCATTATTAAAATGTCTTCAGACTAAACACTGATAACGGTGTTATTTTGAAGGTTGTCCCTGTTGGTTCTTGCCTTTGATAGTAAAGAAGTTTATTGTGTATTCATTGAATACACCAGTTCCACTTTTATACAGTTTACATATTTTTCTAAAAATCTCTGAGGATTCAGAAGTTAAATGCCTCTATAAATCATAGGATAGAGGGCAACATTCAGTTATTTTGTTTTGAGAATTAGTGTCATGACCACAGTGTTCTGCTGGTGTTAGGCCTTACATGGAGGCAGCTGAGTGCAGTGTTGTCTGCAGTCACATTGTGTCGTGCATTCTTTCTATTTGATTGGCTTTGAGTAAAGAATACACATGCTTACAGTCATCATAATGTGTCCTAGCGTTTCAGCAGGAGTTGGATGCAAGGCATGACAAATATGAGAGACTTGTGAAACTAAGTCGGGATATAACTGTTGAAAGTAAGAGGACAATATTTCTTCTCCATAGGATTACAAGGTGGGTAAACATCTTTACATTTTATTTGAGGGGCCAGTGAGGTGGCCTAGTGAGTTAAAGTCACTTGTTGCCAAATGTGACAGTTTGAGTTGGACCCTTGGACTTTCATGGTGGAGAGAGAAACCTGACTCCCTCAAGTTACCCTTTGATCTCTACACATGCACTGTGGCACTTTGTTATGTGATACAGTATATGATTTTCTTGTTTTGTATCTTAACAGACAATAACTGACTCTTAAAACATGTGATTTTGTAAACAGTATCAGGATACTAGCAACTACATTTAAGAAAAATAGGGAAAATTCTTACTTTTAGCCTACCTAAGGATTTCATATTCTGTTTTGGATCAGTCATTCAATTATTGTCTGAGAAAAAGATAGTAAAATTTGGAGTATCTTTTGGAGGCTGTTACATTAAAAGTCTCATTTAGTTGATGTAAAAATTAATTTTAGATAAATGTTGAAATGATTAATTTTTTATTTTTCAACTCAGTGCAGTCTTTCTGCTTCATACAGTCTTTCTACCTTCATACTGTAAAATCTAGTGTATCATATTTTTACAGCACATGATACTGCTGATTGCTTAGTTCTTTAACAGTTTCTCTTTGAGCTCTGGTTTTTTTTCTTTGTATTTTCTTTCTCTAGGACTTACGCTCTTGTTTTTCTAGGTAGATTCTCTGCTCTCTGGGTTGGAAGTAAAAGGAACAAGGTGACTTTAGCCTAAGCAGAGCAGAAAAGAAATGGGAGCAGTTGCACGTACTCAGGGCTGCCTTAGGGAATGCAGCACAGCACCTTACATCTCTCACTCCTGCCGCTCTGCTTCCTTTTCATTTGATCAGCTCCCTTTGCTTCTCGGTTCCATGTGGGGAACAGCTTGTGAGTCCAGATCAGGCTTCTAAGGATGGAGGCTAGTTACAGATTCCAGAATCCTCCAGAGGATAGATTGACTTTGCATTATCTATCCTACAAAGTATTTCAGGAGGAGCAGATACAGTTTATTAGCTTTTATTATTAAAAATATTGAAGTATTCCATTCTGCTAAATTAAAACTTTTAATTTTTGAAAAACTTTTGGTGGTGCTGGGGCTTGAACCCAGGGCCATGCACGCACCCGGCAACCACTCTGCTGAGTTCTTCTCCACATTTTAACTTACTAAGGTACTCTGGGATGCTAACTTTTATTGCACTAAGTGGAGGCAGTTTACCACACCTGGACTTACTGAAATGTGGCACTTCTAATCTTTTTCTCTGACCTAAGTTTTTGCTTGTTTGGTTGCTTAGTGTTAGATAGCTTGTATATAGGTGAACTTGCATTATGGAAAGAAGCAACAATATTCTGATAAATTTGGTGTTTTTCCAGTGCCAGTTACAATTATAAAACAACTACTATCATATTTAGTAGTTTAAAGAAAAAAAAAAAAAGCCGGGCATGGTGGTGCATGCCTTGAATCCCAGCACTTGGGAGGCAGAGGCAAATGGATCTCTGTGAGTTCCAGTCCAGGCAGGGCTTCACATGAGATCCTGCGTCAGAAAAGAAAAGCAATAGGACTGTGACAGAGCTTAATATTTTAGAAAAAGCTACGTTTTGTATCTTTTTTATTTTTCCGTGAATAATAATAGAAAGTAGTAGTACTATTTCATTAGAAAATAATATTTATTAAAAAAAATTGAAAAACAAGTGGTGTCCTAATAAAGATAGGAAGTTACTTTATTAACAAATTCCATTTCTTTAAGATTTTTATTTATTTATTTATATATTTTTATATGTATGAATATTTTCCCTGCACATGTACCACATGTATGCAATGCCCTCAGAGGTCAGAAGAGAGCATCAGATACCCTAGAACTGGAATTACGGACTATTAGCGGCCATGTGGGTGCTGGGAACTGAATTGGAATCCTCCACAAGAGCAGTAAGTGCTCTTAACCCCTGAGCCATTTCTCAAGCCCCACAAATTCCATTTATTTTTATTTTTTATTTTATGTGTATGAGTGTATTACCTGCATGTATGTGAATGCACCTGTATCATGCAGTGCCCCAGAGGTCAGAAGAGGGCATCGGATCCCCTGGAACTGGAGTTAAGGACGATTTGTAGCCACCATATGGGTGCTGGGAATTGAACCTGGGTCTTCTGCAAGAGCAGTCAGTGCTCTTAACCCCTGAGCCATCTCTCCAGCCCCCAAATTCCATTTCTTATGTATTGTTTTTATTATAGTTGTGACCATATTGTATGTAAAATCTTGAGTAGTAAAGTAGAAAAATAATACACTTCAGAAAACTTAGAAATTCCAGAAAAGTAAGTGTACTTAAAGTAAAAATTCATCTAGTCACAGTGCACAAAGATAACTGCTACTGATGAGAAAAACTGATATTTTGGCTACCAGTTAATTTCACTAGTAGATATAGATAGCTACTCTGTGAGCTCTGATGATATTTTTTAAGGAATCTGCTGTTTTCTCCTAAGTTTTGAAATTTATGGATATAAAGTTCTTTATATTATCCTTTTAGTGCTTGAAGCTGTGTGATGACCCCTTTCATTTACAATACTGAGTATCGGTGACTCATGTCCTGACCTGTCTGACTAGAAGTTATACTTTTTTTTGAGACAGGATCTCATGGTCTTCCCCCCTCTGCCTCCCAGTTGCTGTGATTACAGATGTGCACCACCACACCCAGCTTCCTTTCTAAGATCTATTTTTGTCTACCTTTAAATTAGATTTCTAATTTTTCTTGGATTTTTCAAATCCATTCCGGCAGTTAGTGGAGGTGCTTAGATCATTTATATTTAGTGTGATATGGCTGGATTTTAATTCTTTATGTTAAAGTTGTGAGCCTGAACCTTTAATGACAAAACTATCCCACTAAGCCTATGATTTTAATTCTTTTTTCCTGCTCCTTGCTCCCCACTGGCTTTCCCCCCCCACCCCCCCAGTCCTTCAAGACAGGGTTTCTCTCTTTAGCTCAGGCTGAACTCGGGATTCTTTTGCCTAGAACTTCCTTGTGATAGACTTATGTAAGTGAGTGCAGCCAAACTGGCTTCTGCCTTATTTTGGGTTGAGTTTGTATGTGTGTAGTATATGTGTGTGTAGATGCATTCATCTGTATGTAGAGGCTGGGTGTTGACTTCTGGTATCTTCCACCTTATTTGTTTTTTTAGGATACAGTCTCTCAATGAACCTAGGACTTGCTGTTTTGGCTGTCTGTTGAGTCCAGGGATCCACTTGTCTCCCCCTGCCCATGGCATTAGAATCGCCATGCCTAGCATTTATGTGGGTGCAGGAAATCTGAACTCAGGTTGTCCTAAGTCCTTGCATAGCAAGCACCTTTCCCAGAGCCATCTCCCAGCTCCTGCATTGAATATCCTTTTTTTTTTTTTTTTTTTTTTTTTTAAAATTTTTTTTTTTTTTTTTTTACTGTGTGTATGAATGTGGAAATCAAAGGACAACTTTGTGAGGTTGTTTCTCTCCTTCCACTCATGAGTTCCAGGGATCTAAATTCAGGTCTTCAGGTTGCACAGCATGTGTTTTATCCACTGAGTTGTCTTACCGGCCCTGGATTGAATATTTCTCATACTTCTCATTTTAGTGGTACTTTTCTGTGTTTGTTGTTTTTTCGGTTTTTGTTTTTTGTGGTGGTTGTTTAATGGGCATAGTGCATGTCATAATGCTCTGGACCATCTCACTCAGATAGTACTGTGCTAACTGAAATTCACAGATATCAGAATGAGCTGCTTTGTATGGTTCTGTGTAACAGCTTTGAAAATTAAAGTCAGGTGCTGAAGTGCCAGGTTTCCGTTAATGTAGTACATTGGACAGATAAGGCCTGCTTGTGTATCATCTCATATGCAGGGTAAGAAGCTTGTCAGAGTATACTTCCTTTTCTCTGCTAGCCTTAACTTTCTATGTCACTGTTGTAGTTCTTGTTAACTCAATAGTGTATCCCTGGTACATTGCTTTTACTTAAACAGTGTGATTTAAAATTTTTTTGACCTATTTATTTGTATTTTTTATGTATGTGAGTACTTTGCCTACATGTATCTTAAGCGCACTACATGTATGCAAACCCACAGAGGCCAGAACAGGGTATTGCATCCCCTGGAAGTGAGTTTTGAATTGTTGTACCCACCATGTGGGTGCTGGGAAATGAATCCAGGTCCTCTGCAAGAGCAGCAGCACTTTTAACCGCTGAGCCATCTTTCCACACCCTAAACAGTGTGATTTAAGAGACAATAAACAGATTTATTATACATTTACCCATGTAGTTATCATTTCTAATATTTATTCCTTGTTACGTAGATTTAAATTTCCACCTGGAATCCTTTTCCTTTGCCTGAGGAACTTCCTCTAATATTTCTGTAGTGTTCACTGCTGGTGAGTCAGTTTTCTGGCTGTCTATAAGCCATGGGAATTGTTCTGTCCTCATACTCTGGGCAGTTCTTCTGCCGTCTAGGTGGTTTTCATAAGTGACCAGTACTCAGCCAGAGACCTGGGGAAGTCCCTTGTGTAGAGCTCTGACATACTGCCCCTTTTGCAGCTTTCCTTTCTGTTCTCTGCCCAGTGAATTTAGCACTCTTGACCTTAAACTCCTTTTCAACTCAGTCTTTGGCTCCACCTAGGTTTCTCATCCCACATTGTCACCTGGAAGCTCTTCGAAGCAGTAAGATGAAACAGTTGTGTGTGTGCTTCTCCAGTCACTGTCCACTCTCCGTGCTGCCTCAGTCTAGTGTCTGAAACCAGTTTTGTATATTCCATTGTGTTTTTGCGTTGAGGTGGAAAACTAAATCCAGACTCCATTCTGCCTAGAAGCAAACATCAACGTGTCATGTTTTTATGAATAAAGTTTTTCATGTGGTTTTGATTACATTACATATAGAATTTTTTTATTTAATAGTATATTTTAACATTGCCATATTTTTATGTACCATTATAGATATGTTAGAAGTATTCAGATACAGCTATTAATTTTTAGGTCATTTAGTTTTTCATTATCAGTATATTTGGCTGATGCTCTAAAGGTTCCTGATGTCTTGATTATATATAGTGCTCCTGATATGGAAGAAATATTGGCTGAATCAGAAATTAAATTGGATGGTGTCAGACAAAAAATATTACAGGTAGCCCAAGAGCTCTCAGGAGAAGATATGCATCAATTCCATCGAGCCATCACTACAGGTAAGTGTAAAAGTTAGAAAAATAAGTGATATGTGAATTATATCAGTTTTCACTGACACCCTGTGGAATAGTACTACTGGCTTTGTGTGTGTGTGTGTGTGTGTGTGTGTGCATGTTCATGCATGCATGCATGCATGCATATGTATATGGCATTGCCTATGTGTGGAGGTCAGAGGACAGTTTGTGGGAGGTGGTTCTGTCCTTCTACCATGTGAGGGGATTTAACTCAGCAGGCTTGGTGGCAGGTATCCTTCCCCACTGAGCGTTTGCACTCGTTCTATACTAAGTATTTGAAATGAAGTTTTTTGAGACAGTCTCATGTAGCTTAGATTGGCCTCAAAGTCACTGTACAGTCAAGGTTGACTGTGAACTTCTGATCTTTCTGCCTCCACCTCCACCTCCCAAGTATTGGGTTTATAGGCATTCACTATCTTCTTGACTTTAAAATGAAGTTTTGAATTGCGGAAGCAATGACTTTTTTTTTTCTTTCAGTTTTTACCTTGCCAAATTTTTTATTTTATTTTTTAGTTTTTGAGATAGGTTCTCCCTATAACCCCAGCTGGCCCGGAATGCACTATGTAGACCAAGCTGGCTTTGATCTCACAGAGATCCTCCTGTCTCTGTCTCTCAAGTGCTGGGACTACAGACATGTGCCACCACATCCACTTGCCAAGTTTTTAAACATGTTGCTTCCTACATTTTTCGTAGTAATCCTATGTTAATATGTAGGCCTTGAATAAGTTGAAGGTGGAGACATTCTGGCCTAGAGATAAATTGCCCTTTGTCAGACAATTTGCTAGCAATAGTTTTTTTTGTCAAAGATTTATTTTGTGTGCATGAGTATTTGCATGTATGTATGTGTATCACATGTTTTGATGGTTGAAGAGGTCAGAAGTGGGTGTTGGATCCCTTAGAACTGGAGTTAACAGATGTTTCTGAACTACCACATGGGTGCTGGGAACTGGATCTGGGTCTTCTGTGAGAGTAGCCAGTGCTCTTAACTGCTGAGCCATCTCTCCAGCTCCAGTGATGCTTATTCTTAAGTTCAGGATGAAAAAGTCAAATAAAACGGTATCTGGGACTTAAAAGTTGCTTACATTTTATCTGATAAAATATAATTAGAGTAATGCCAACAATATGATGCTTACGAATAGCCTGCTGCTTGTAATTGTTAAGTGCTTGTTTTGGTGTTACTCCAAAAGACTGTTCTTTTGACTTGAAGTTAAAATAGTCCTGGCGTTGAACTAAAGGAGTCTGTGCCTATTGAGAGCAGGGCTGATGGCATGCAGAGCATTTCCCTGAGGGCTGAACAGTCCACTGTGTCCTGCTCCTCAGGGAAGCTGAACAAGTGAATGCCTAAGTAGGTGCTTGAAATAAGTAACGTAAAACATCCTTATGACTTATTTCCTACCCTTTTGTTGAGAAACTACAGGTGGACAGAAATGCCCTCCATCTTAAATGGAAATTTTTGTTTGTTTGTTTGTTTTACCTTAGCCTATATCACTGATAATAATTTTAAAAAAATTTTTGCCGGGCATGGTAGCACGTGCCTTCCTTTAATCCCAGCACAGGCAGGCGGATCTCTGTGAGTTCAAGGCCAGCCTGGTCTACATAGTGAGTTCCAGGACAGCTGGGGCTACAGGGAGACCGTGTCTCAAAAAGACCAAAAAGATCAAAAAAATTTTTTTTATTTATTTTTGTTTTATGTGTATGCGTGTATTGCCTGCATGTAGGTAACTGCACCCGCAGAGGTCAGAAGAGGCTATCGGATCCTCTGGGTCTGGAGTTAAGGACAGTTTGTAGCCGCCATGTGGGTGCTGGGAATCGAACCCTGGTCCTTTGCAAGGGTAGTCAGTACTTTGAACTGCTGAGCCATCTCTTCAGCCCCGATAATAATTTTTTTGAGATGATTTTATTCAAGAGTGAGAGTAGGGCTTAAATTAGTCTTTATGGTCAGTTTTTTTTTTTTAAATGGGTAATGTCTATATTGCCTAGTCTGGCCCTGTGCTCAAGCCATCTGTCCTCCTGTTTGGTGGAGATACTTTTTAGTTGTTGTTCTTCTGTTTTTTTTTGTAGAACTCTTTAGTGTTTTTACCACTTTATGAGTTAGGAAATTGAAGCTTCACAGAAGTTCTGGCCAAGGCCATGAACTACCAAGTGTTATCATTGGTTTCTTCCTGTAGAGATTCAGTTTAACCTACAGACTTTAGCATTTTGTAAAACCCAGTACAGGGCCAATATTTCTTAAATTCAGCCTAAATGTGAGTAGAAAGGATACAATTTAAAGTTGCATTTAAAAGGGAGGTGATTCAGTAAACACTTGGAGAGCCATTTAATCATAATAAGTTGTGCTGCAAACTTTGGTAGCCATCATGATAACCATTACTTAGCATTTTCTGGGCTGCTGTAGACTTGTTTTCGAGACAGATGTCTGGGGTACACTCCTTAGATTGTCCTGGGATGTGAGGGTGTCTTAGTCCAGCTTCTCTTGTCATTTCTCTTCAAGCCTATTGCTTTTCTGAAATCTGTTTGAAAAAGTTACCAGTTTGATCCGGGCTCTGCAACATTGAATTGATGAGGATGTGGCTTCTTGTTGGGTTTTGAACATACTGCACCAGGTCACATTCTGCTTTAATTTATCATGCCTTGTGGAATAAACAGTTTTCTAGGACTCCTGCCTCCTAGCAGCCGCTATTTTACTCTTTTTTTCTATGGGTTTGCCTCTTGCACATCTTATACACTGCATGACCTTTTGTGTGTGACGTCTCCCTTAACATGATGTTCTCGGTGTACCTGCATGTAGCATATAGAGTACTTCCTTTTTGTGGTTGGGTTGTATGGATAGCCCACATTTTATTTGTCCATTCATCAGTTGATGGACATTGGGTTTTTCTTCTTTTTGACTATTCACATTTGCCGACAGTAGTTGTGTGAACATAGGCTTTCACTTCTCTGGGCAAACACTTTTCTCAGAAAAGCATTAAGATCCTGTAATCAAGTTGAGCCTTGTGAAACTGGAGTCCTAATGAGTGCTTTCACATGGTCACCCTCAGGCAAGGTTTGGTGGAGAATTGGACTGAATGTATGTGGCTTAAGTATTGTGAGAATAAGTAAAATAATCAGAAGCCTTAAGTTGGGTTTCCCTGTATATGCTCTAATAGAGGAATGAGGTAAAGAATAACAAATTACATAAAAGTAACCTGCAAACTTCTCTCTTACTGGAAACAGATTCTGTAAATAATTCCATTTGGCTGTCCTCCAAGGCAGAAGCACAGGGGAAGGCATTGTTTGCTGAAGGATGGCAGTGGGCTGAAAATTTTCACCTTGGGGATTATACACTGAAAATAACGGATGTCCTATTCATCAGGTTGAAACATAACTTATTTAAACATCCTTTTACCTACATGTAACTCAAAGTGCTTTGCAGTGTTTGGGACCAGATGTCCTTGAACTCTTGGTGATATAGCATGGACTCTTAATTTCTTTCTTTTTTGAAAGCTAGCCTCAAACTCAAAATGTAGCCTAGGCTGGTCTCGAACTCTTGTTTGTTTGTTTGTTTGTTTGGTTTTTGAGACAGGGTCTCCCTGTAGTCCCAGCTGGCCTAGAACTCACTATATATATCAGGCTGGCTTGCCTCCATCTCATAGAGATCTACCTGCTTCTGCCTTGCCCTAACCCCTGAGTGCTGGGATTAAAACCTGGTCTTGAACTCTTAATCTTCCTGCTTCTACCTCCCAAGTGCTGAGATTACAGGTGAACACTCCCAACACCAGCAGTGACAGGTTTTCTTGTTTGTTTGAGACAGAGAATTCTGTGGTTCAGGATGACCTGGGACTCACTGTATGATCCATGTTGACTTAGTGCTTGTGCAATCCTCCTGCTTTAGTCTCTTGAATACTGGAATGATGGAATGAGCCACCATGTCCAGCTGAGAGCTTCTTTTTGAATTCTTCTACTGTATAAAAGATTGTGCTTGAAAAGAAAATACAGCACATTAAAACTTAGGAGCTGTTCACAGCAATGCATAGACATGGCACACATAGCATGAAACTGACCACTTTAACCTTGCAGAGTGTGCACTGCTGTTGTTTACTGTATTGTATAACCATCACACCCACCCACCTACTCTAGGGCTGTTTCAGCTTCCCAGAGTGAAACTGCTTATTGTCATTTGTGTTTTTCCATAGACATTTTTCTTTTTATTAAGAGTCTTTCCTGGGACTGGAGAGGTAGCTCAGTGGTTGCTGCTACAGGGAGCTCAGGTTCGATTCCCAGCACCTACATGGCAGCTAACACCTGTCTGTAATTCCAAGGGAATCTGACACCCTCTTCTGACCTCCATGGGCATTACACGACATGGGTACATGCAGTACACGAGGCAGTACACTCATACACATAAAATAAAAATAATAAATAAAAAATTTAAAAGTTTTTCCCCCTAAATTTTATTTATTATTTTTTATTTTTATGTGTATGAGTGTATTACCTGCATATATGTAAGTGTACCCATGTCTTGCATTGCCCATGGAGGTTAGAGGAAGATGTTGGATCCACTGAAACTGGAGTTATGGATGGTTATTAGCTGCCATGTGGGTTCTGGGAACCAAACCCAGGTCCTCTGCAAGAGCAGCCAGTGCTCTTAACCACTGAACCATCTTTCCAGCCCCGTATGTTTTAATTATTATATAATTTGTTTAAGTGGAAGTTCTTCATTTAATCAGTTTGTGTCCGGCACCTATAGTAAATGGGATCATCATCTAACTGTGATAGAGAGGGCTTGGTGACACCCCTGAGCCTTGAGACAGAGATCTAGGAGAGCTTGTGTGCCCTGCCTCACCTGACACAATCTAAGTGGGTATCACCACACTTCTGTCACATGAGGTGATGATCAGCTTTAAGGTTTTTTTTAATGGTGACACTCCTGTAAAGTTAGTGCTTCTTCCTAGTTAACCTTCTTTGTTGGTTTTTCAGGACTGCAGGAATATGTGGAGGCTGTCTCTTTTCAACACTTCATCAAAACACGTTCATTAATCAGTATGGAAGAAATTAATAAACAGTTGACATTTACAACAGAAGACAGTGGGAAAGAAAACAAGACTGTGAGAATTGAAAATCATTTCACTTTTACAATATAATATATAACAGCATAAAGATGGGGGGAGAGTTACTGGCTAAATCTTTAGCATGGTTTGCTGGCACTCCAGGGAAGCGGTCTCTAAGTGTTTTAACTAGTGATAGAACAGGGTGACTTGGAATATGTGTGGGGAAAGTAGTACTTTTGTACCTAACGCATTATAAACAATACCATTTCACCCTTTTATTAACCTTGTGAGATTAGATTTACCACCCCATTTTACCGAGAGGTAAACAAGGGTGTAGAGGGTAAGGAACTAAGTAAATGAGGCAGAGCTGAGGTTTGAACCCAGGCTGTACCCTTTGTCTTTCCTTCTCAGTATGTAGAGGCATCCCTGTATAGGGCCCCACCTCATGGCTCTCTAAAAGGGTTTGACTCACAGAGGCTTTTAACTAAGCAGGTATCAGAGTTTATACTTGACATCTCTGTTGTAAAGTAGTTGTGTTTTGAGAGCCATTCATCCCTCAGAATAACTTATGTAAGTTCTGAATTCAGGAGGGAAAAACTTTTGGAGTTTGACTTTTAAACAATACTATTTTTTCCCCTTTGGCTTTGAACATATAACATTCAGGCAACAAGTTGGGCCATTTAGGGTCTTTGATCTCTTCTGAGATACTAGTACACATTCAGACAAACAATATTTTTCCTTTTTTGCTTTTTCTTTTATTAATTTTTAAAACATCACTCAGAGCCAGGATAGGCAGACAGAGAAACTGTTAGACTAAAGAGTACTTGAAGGTAAACTGCTAAAATTGTGAAAATAACCTGATTTGTTAGGACAGAGAAAACTTACTCTAAAAGAGTCACTGTGTTTTCTTAGCTTTTGGGGTTGTACGAAGTTATCAGTGAGGACATTCCTTCTGAGGAGCAAGAGTCCTTAGTTTTTGTTCAGCTGGTGGAGATGACATAGCAGTGAGAGCTGAGTCAGCCTGGCCTGCTGCTCTGTGAGGGGCAGCACGCACTTCCTTCCCAGGTGTCTGTCAGGTGGTCACACTGTAAGAACAGGCTCAAGGTATGCACTGCTTCAGGACTTAGGCGCTTAGTACTCTAAAATGTGGTGTGTATTCTGCTGAATTTAATACTGCATTCATGAGTCATTTTTCCTGTAGTTGCTAGCATCTTGGTCCTGAAAATTCTGGAAATTTGATACAATAATGAATTTTCATTTTAACTTGTGAGAATATTGTCAAACTGTTAAAAAATTTTATTATGACAAATTTCAAACATACGTCAGCTCATGTACTGAGGCTTGACTTCAGTAGCCTGTAGTTACCATTTCCTATATTTGCTTTGTCCTAGTAGTTTTGGCTAAACCATGTTAAAGTAAGTTAGTGATGTCATAATATGTCTTCCTAAATACTTGTATGCCCATCTTGAAAAATTGTACTTTAGGTAAATTTTTCTTCCATACTTAGAGTTTTGGAAAGCAGAATTTATTTCTTCAACAATTTTTTAGTTGAAATTTGTTAATTTTTTTAAGGTGCTGCTCTCTAAAATCAACTGGCTGATAACCGTGACCCTTTCTGTGTCATGGTAGAACAAAGAGCATTAGTATTTTGTTACATGTATTTTTATCAATGGTAATGAAATGTACTCTTCTTGACTACTACAATCTGCCCTTTCCTAAAAAATGCCAGGCTTCTAGCTTGTAAATCACAGTGAGAGGATACTTTAAAATTTTTCTATTTTTAAAATTACATATGTGTTTTGTGTGTGTGCATGCATGGAGCTAGATGAGGGTATTGAATCCACTGGAGTTGGAGTTACAGAGAGTAGTGTGCCACCTGAATGTGTGCTAGAAACCCAAGTCCACTGCAGAAACAGGAGGTACTCTTAACTCTTGTCATCTCTCTAGCTCCCCAGAGAAGATACTTTGATGATATAATTTAAAAAGCATCAGAAGCCGGGTGTGGTGGCTCACGCCTGTAGTCCCAGCACTTGGGAGGCAGAGGCAGGCGGATATCTGTGAGTTCAAGACCAGCCTGGTCTACATAGTGAGTTCTAGGACAGCTGGGGCTACAGGGGGACCCTGCTTCAAAAAGACCAAAAAAAAACAAAAAAAAAAAAAAAGCATCAGAACAATTGGGAGGCAGCCTTTGGATTCTGTTATTGACTAGGTATCTCATCCCCTCTGAACCTGAGGTGGGCCTCATGTCTCATGCTCTGTGTTTGGTGCATTGGGCCATAGCATCTCTGAAGGTTTGAGCAGGCTTAGGATTTGTGTATTGGATGTACAGCAACAAAGTAATAGTCACTCTGCCATTTCCTCACCTGGTTCTTGAAGACTCCAGGACCTGTAAGTCCAAATTCCTCAATGTGGCACCCTGCTCACCTATCTCTGTACTACTCTTTAAACTTCACTTAGAAGGAACACCTCATTGGTTCCTCAAATACACAGAACAGTCTCCTCCACATCTTGCCATTCCTACTGTCCAGCACTCTAATGGAGTGCAACTTCACCTAGTTGTGCTTCACTGGTAACAATTTAGTTATCACTTCTAGAAAGACCCTCCTAGAGAGATGTACACTGTGGTAGTGGTGATGATCATAGCAGCTTATATTTGTTGAGTGTTTTCCTGTGTTGGGCATTATGCCATGAACTTAGTGAATGCTATCTCATTTAACCCATAAAAAACCTCTGAGGTGGTAGTCTCATGATCACATTTTATGGAGGAGGATATTGAGGTTTAGAGATGAAATAATTTGTCTATATACATGTATCTTATGAGTAAGGTCCCAAAGTGGTGGGAGGGGATGAGGCAAGGTCATGTAGAAGAGGAGGGATCACTTGTCCTCTGAGACTGGAGGACAGAAGGTAAGGATGGATGTTGTTTTGATTGTTCCTGTAGGAATAAAGATAATTGAGACTGTACCAGGTGATTGAGCAGATGACTGACAGTCTGTAAAATTAGCTTGGATTGTCTACTGAAACTGAAGAGTTTGGGGATTGCGAAGGACACAGGGGAGAGTGCTGGAGGCCCAGAGTAGTGTTTGAAGAAGGCAGTAAACCACTGAAGAATAATGAAAAGGACTGGTAAAACTCGCAGTGGAGCCAACTTTGACTTCCAGTTGTGATTCCTGTTTCTAAACTCATTGGTACTCAGCTATCTAGCAAAGAACTGACATGGAGATTTTAGCATTGATTCAGGATTGTGATTTGCTGGGCACACGTAGGAGGTAGAGATGCTTGAGGGAACTGGGTGCAGCACATTGATGAGCAGTGCAACACAGGGAAGGAGCAGCCAGCTGAGGCTAGGGAGGCACAACTGGATCACATACTTGGAGAGCTATGGGACTGCTACATGATAGTGATTGTCAGTAGGCCGCATTTAAGAGTGCTTCTAGCTGGGCATGGTTGCGCATGCCTTTAATCCCAGCACTCTCAGGCAGATCTCTAACATCGAGGCCAACTTGGTCTCCATAGCAAGTTCCAGACTAGCTGGGGCTACTGGGAGACCCTGTCTCAAAAACCAAACCAAAACAAAAAGAATGCTTCTGCTTTGCTTGTCCAATGAAGTTGGATATGGTTGGTTTTACAGTAGTGGCATTTGATTTTTCTATCACATCCAAACCATCTGATTGAGCTCCTTTCCCAACAAATGGGTGGATTCCTCATGCTGCATCCAGGTGGATACCATAGCGCATATAGCATCTTATAGAGAAAAGGTTTGTGTGCCTGGCCTGCTGTTGATTTTGTACTTTATAATAATTGTGGTACCTGATGAATTCACTTTTTCACAGTGTATTTTCTTTGTGAGTATATTGCTTTCTGTTTTCTTTTTACCAGCCCTCCTCTGATGGACAAGATAAGCAGCTTGTTACTTGGAGACTGAAAATCACCCCTGTTGATTACCTGCTGGGAGTGGCTGACCTAACTGGAGAATTGATGCGGATGTGTATCAACAGTGTGGGGAATGGGGACATTGACACTCCCTTTGAAGTGAGCCAGTTTCTACGTCAGGTATATGATGGGTTCTCATTCATTGGCAATACTGGGCCCTATGAGGTTTCTAAGAAGCTATACACCTTGAAACAGAGCCTGGCCAAAGTGGAGAATGCATGCTATGCCCTCAAAGTCCGGGGCTCAGAGATTCCCAAGCACATGCTAGCAGACGTGTTTTCAGTTAAAACAGAGATGATTGATCAGGAAGAGGGCGTTTCTTAGAGCAGCATCACGGCTGTTCTCTGAGGAATGCCTGAGAGACCGTGGGAGACTTAGTGAGTGTTGCATTTGACTTTATCGTGGCTTTTATGTAGAGATGTCTCCAATTGTACTAGTTTGAAGTCGCATATAAGCTGTATATAGATTTATCTAAGTGAGTGTTTCTATTCATGAGCATTTACATAGTATTTGCATATATGCCTGTTGGAGTTGTCTGCTGGCTAGCCTTATCCTTTTGTCTGTGTTATGTGAACATGCTTCCAATTGCACTTTCTGCTACACCTACTTTGACTCACTTTGAACTCATTGATGAATTTTTAGTGGAAGCCACTTAAGCTAGTGAGTTTATTACATGGAGAAAAGATTTCTTAGTGAAATTTCTGAACTTGAGCTTCCTGTTTTAGTTGCTTGGCAGTATTGTGGCAAGCCTCCAAAATAGGCTTGACCCATGGAAAAAAATTTAAATGAGTAAGCTACCAATATTTTTAAGTAAAGTTTTGGTAGAATTATTGTGAGAACTCATGTAAATTTTGGCCAATTTGGGCCATTTTGAATTTCTATGAAATAGCTTTCCAGGAAAGTTGATGGGTGTCCAGATGGGAGTGTCTCCATTTTGTCTCCGTCTTTTATCACAGGTGTGATGGGGAAGTGGAGCTGACATCATGACAGTTTTCATTGGTGAGGTCGAGTTGAATTATATCTTTGTATATAAACCAAAAGCTTCCGTAGGGAGCAGTTAGGCTCTGTGTCATTGTGTTAGGCTTGTCAGGACTTTCCTAGTCTAGCATCTTCTAGAAACTAAACAACTATGATGATATTTGAAATACTAAGTTAGTCCAAAACTTTGTATTTGTCCCTTGGTGTTAATTAATAAAGTTGCCAAAGAAAATGAATTCTGTGTAATTCAGCAATAAGACAGTTGCCAACACGACGACGGGAGCACTGGTAGTCATGAGTTGACCCACTCAGCGCTTACACGTGTGAAGCTAGCTTAGCATGACCCTTCTGGGTGACCACCACACATTTCCAACTAGTTTTTTGAGTTTTCAGAATTTAGATACTGGGTTTTATTTTTGGAAAGATTATTTCTGTTTGTAAGGGCTGATTCTTTGAAAATGTAATTTTCCAAAAATTAAAACACATACATGTCTGATAAGTTAGATTCATCTATCTTCGTGATGATGGGTTTTGGGTTCTGTGATCTAAGACATACATTGTTCAGTTATAGTCAGCCCCATTACATTTTTTTTGTTTGTTTCCTCAGTTGCTTCAAGTTAAATTTATAATATTAAAATAATAATGAAGTATGTTTTACAGCTTAAGACAAATTTTGAATAAAATACTAAAATACAGGAGCTCATTTGTTTATAATTTTTAAAAATTGAATTATTGTGTGTATGTGCTTAGGTGCCACAGTGTGCATGTGGAGGTCAGAAGACAACTTGGAGGGAATTGGTTCTCTTCTTCCACCATGTGGGTTCTGGGGCTCGAACTCAGGGTGTCAGGCTTAGTGGTGAACACCTTTTCCCACTGAGGCATCTCACCTGTCCAAGAAGCTTATTGTTTTTATAGACTTGAGAAATAGTAAATGTATAATGTTCGCTTAAAATAGGAAACCTAAGATAGACAAGGCTAATACTTATTTTTTCTGAAAACAAGTCCTGAGAAAGGCAGGCTTTCAGGTGGTTGAGGGACCCAGAGCCCTTCCCTCTGCTCTCTGGGGCATCGTAAAGATACCTTGACAGAAGAGGAGTTCTTAGGCCTCTTTGAGTTCCCTAAGTTTCCAAGAAAAGGACATCTTTCACAACTCACTCAGACCAGATAGTGTTCTGTCCTTCTGACTTGGTTCATGGAAGGCAAGAGAACATTAGCTCTAGATAACCACTTGCTTTGTCCACAAGGAAAGGGCCAGGACTAGGAAGTCAGGCTGTCAGAGAATGTACATTGCCTTTGGGTGGGGTCAGTAGTGCCTCCTGCAGGTGGGCACATGCCGTTGCTGCCTGTGGTTCTGCACTGAGCCATGGGCGTTGGCAGCATGGGAAGGGCCTCTGTTTAAACTGCTTGCAATGACAGCACCATCTGTTGTAGTAGTTTTTGTATTTATTTCAAAAGAAATTGATTCTACGTGCCATCAAGATGGCTCAGCTGGTAACCAAACGACCTGAGTTTGATACCCAGAACCTATGTGGTGGAAAGAGAAGGACTGACTGACAAATTGTTCTGTGACCATGAGGACAGTTGGGCATGCACATCCTCCAAAATAAATAAAAATGTAATTTAAAAAAATTAAAGAAACTGATTCCAAGTGCTGTGGTAAGTTGCTGACACAACTTTAAAATAAAGTGGATTATTTCTTTTCAAGTGATGTCCTGTGTGTATTACAAAAGAGTGGTTTTCCCAGTGCATTGCAAGAGCCCTGGGGCTTTTGTCCTTAGAGAAGGTTGAGACTTATATGAGAGATTGGCAGAGTGGATCCAAGCACTTTACTGTCTACAGACAGATTCAGAGACAAAGATTGAAGTAAAAGGCTAAGACACTCCACATAAACAGTAACTAAAAGTTTGACTGACTGCCAATATCAGATAAAATAGACTTTATTTTTACTGCAAAGAACAGCATTTGTGATAAGCTCAATCCATTAAAATATATAATAGTTGCAAAGAAAAAAGTGTGTATGTGTAGGTGCCCATACACATGTATGTGGAGGCCAGAGGCCAACAGTAAGGGTCGTCTCCACTTAATTTTTAAAAATCTTAATTTTTTTCATGTGCGTATTGCCTGTATGCATGTAAGTGCACCCATGTCATGCAGTGCCCATGGAGGTCAAAAGAGGGAATCAGATCCCCTGGAACTGGAGTTACGGATGATTGTTAGCTGCCATGTGAGTGGTGGGAATCAAACCCGGTTCCAGTGCTCTTAACCACTGAGCCATCTCTCCAGCCCCCTCCACTTTATTTTTTGAGACAGTCTCTTATATTGGGAACTCACCGATTGGGCTAGGCTGGCTGGTCAGCAAGCCTTGGGGATCTGCTGACTCTACTTCTAAGTTTACAAGTGCTAACCACCACACCAGCTTTTATGTAGGGCACTGGAGGCCCAACCACAGGTTCTCATGCTTGTGTAGCAAGCACATCACTCGTTGAACCATCCTCTAGGCACCACCTATCTTTTTAATGGTAATTTTGCCAAGTTCTAATTTTCTTAGGATGAGTCCATTTTATTTCAGTTTTTTAATTTGTTAAATAATGTTAGTATCCGTTTTCTTTATACATATACATACAATATATATATATATTGGTAAGTTATTCAGGCTGGTCTGGAACTCAGTATATAGTTTTGGTTTTGAACTCATGATCCTCAGCCTCTCAAGTGCTGGAATTATACACGTACACTACAGTACCCAGTCTTACTTAAAAAAAAGATTAAAAAAAATTATTTTATGTGTATGCATGTATTGCCTGCGTGTAGGTAAGTGCACCCATGTTGCGCAGTGCCCACAGAGGACAGAAGAGGCTGTCAGATCCCCTGGAACTGGAGTTATGGACAGTTGTTAGATGCCATGTGGGTGCTGGGATTTGAACCCGGGCCTTCTGTAAGAACAGTCAGTGTTCTTAACCGCTGAGCCATCTCTCCAGTCCCTCAAAAAAAAAGATTTTTATTTGTGTGTGCGTCTGTATGTGTGTATGTGTGGTGCACATGAGCACATGTGAATGCTCGGGCCCACAGGGTCCAGAAGGGAGCATCTGATCCTCTGGAGCTGGAGTTAAAGGTGGTTTTGAGCCATCTAATGTGGGTGCTGGGAATCAAACTCGGGTCCTCTGCAAGAGCAGTATGTACTTTTAACCACTGAGCCATCTCTTCGGCTCCCAACCTTAGGTTTTTAAAAGGCAATAGAAGTCCTGTTAAACAAGTTCTCCAGTTGAAGTATCCCTTGTCCCTAAAGTTCTCATTTCATAGACACACTGATTTTAATTTGAAGATTAGCAACTGTGAGTCTTCCCGTGTTCACAGCCTTTGTGTCTCAGGACAAATATGTTTTGCAAGTTAACTTTGAGTTGCCATTGTAATTCGTTGGTCAGTGACGGGCTGCCTGTACAGTGGCGGTCCCATAAGCATGTATCACCTAGTGATGTCTAGTCGGCTGGGTTTGTAGACACACCCTGTTTACCCAGTGACATGGCTGTCAGTAAGTGATGTACAACTGCCATCTTCACATTTATGTTGCAAGTATTTTTTCTTTTTTTTTCTGTGAAGAAAATCTTATTTGTAACCTTTTTAGTGTTCTTTGAGTAACAGTTACATCCTCTATACCATATGTTGCTTTTAAAGAAAAATGATGGGACCGAGGCTAGAACCCACTGGTAAAGTACATATGCATGCAAGGCCCTAAGTTTAATCCCTATATCATAAACAGAACCAAAACCAAAACCATAATGGCAATATATGGGGAACGTAAAAACATAGGAGTTGGAACTCATCCATATCCATAGTGCCAGTGGAAACCACCAGCCTTTACCCGACACGATGTTTGGAGGCTCCACTGTTGCCCCAGTTGTGTGTTAATGCAAATGGCCAAAGTGCTGGACTGTCTCTGGTCTTGCCTGTCAACTCTCGGTTTTAGGCCCCCTCTCAGTTCTGCTGGAACCCTGGGAACCCCATCTATGTGACTCACATTCTTACAAGGGGCAGAGGATCAGCAAGCCACTAGCCACTAGCACTGTAGGGCTGGTGCTCAGCCTGTGTGCACATGGCATACGTGAGGGTTTGCAGGGCCTCTGCATTCTGTCGCTCACCTGCTCAGGCTGCAGGCAGCTGAGGTCATGACCACAGTTTCCTGCAATTCCTGCAGCTCCAGGACTTCCTGCATTTGCTGGCTGAGTTCCCGACCTTCCTTTCCTCTAGCCCTTCCAGTGTTTTGGAAGCACCTGTGTTAAGTCCTTTCCTGAGTGGGCTACCGAAAGTGCTTTCTGTTTTCTTGAGTGAACGTGGCAGAGAGGCTTTTGTTGTCAGTCATGAAATACATGTGGTGTCACCCAACTAGAATCACCTGAGGGGAGAGCCTCAGTTGGAACTGCCTCCATCCAACTGGCTTGTGGGCATGTCTGTGAGGTATTTCTTGATTGTTGGTTGAGGTAGGAGAACCTAACGTTCTGTGGGTGGTGCCATCTCTGGGCAATATTTTTAAAAAGGTAACTGAGCAAGCTAGTAAGCAGCATTCCTCAGTTTGTGCCTCTAGGTTCCTGCCTTGGCTTTGCTTGATAACTTTTCCTGTAACATGTTAGACAAAATAAACCCTTTCCTCTTCGAGTTACTTTTGGTCTGAGTCTTATTACAGCAACAGAAAACAAACTAGAACACTAGGCCTTAGGCATAACCAGAGAAATGTAGGTTTCAGGACTCGACGTCCCCTGTATCACATGGGCCAAGACTTGATGTTCAGGACTGCTTGTGGGTGTGGAGCAATGGGCTTTCATTTGTTGCTCTGGATTGGGCCGCTCCGCATGGCTGTCACCTGCATGTCAGGGTGATCTCATGCACAAATCAGCCTGCCCTCTGCCCTCATGCCTACCCCACCTTCTACACCCTGCTCGTCAGACAGCATCTGCTTCCCAGTTGATTGGCAGTGATCACCCTTGACTCCTCTCTGGCTCCCAGTGTAGGCTATTTCACATAAATGCAGAATCTTAAGACTTTTTGTCACCCTGGTCCCAAGTGCTGGGATTACAGACAGGAGCCACCACTCCTGGCTGAAGCTTTTTTTCCTTTTCCTTTCTTTTTCTTTTCCCTCCCTTCCCATCCTTCCTTTCCCTTCCCTTCCCCTTCCTTTTCCTCCTTCCCCTTTCCTCCCCCACCCCCCTTTTTGTTGTGCCCTTGTCTGATTTTTACACCAGAGTAACACTGGCTTCGTAAAATGAGTTTAGTAGTGTTCTTTCCCTTTCTTTTTCATGGAAGTTTTTAAAGATCTGCTAGAATCCAGCAGGGAATCCATCCAGCTCTGGGATTTTCTTTATTGGGAGACATTTTTCTATATCTCCAATCTCATGGCTTGTTAGAGATCCATTTGAGTTGTTACATCCTCTAATTTTCATAGATTGTGAGTGTCTAGGAACTTATCCCATTCTAGATTTTCCAGTGTTTTGGAATATACATTTTCTAAGTATTCCCTAATGTTCCTCTGTATTTCATAGGTGTTCTAATTTGGGTTCTGTTGATGTGATAGAACAGTGACCAAAGCCAACTTAGGGAGGAAAGGGTTTATTTCAGCTTACAAATTATAGTTCATCCTTGAGAGAAGCTAAGGCTGGAACTCAAGACAGGAACCTGGAGGCAGGAACTGAAGCAGAGACCATGGAGG